AGATAGAAGAGTTTGTTGAATCTGACGTGACATGTTCGTACGAACCCTTTGTACGAACAAAAGTAAGAGAAATTTAGGATAAGAATACAAACATGTTCTTGCATGAGGCCCAATGGGTCTACCCACTGGGTTACGGTGTGTGCTGCCTCCTGTAGGGGGGGTGGGTGCATGTCCTGGACCTGGGGGGTATAGAGTGTGTATCAGGGGTATGAGTGGAATGTGGCGTCTTTGTATGTCTCTGAGTGAGTGGGTGTGAGGATGAGGGTGGGTTGGTGCAATTGTGTATGTATGGTTACAGTATTTGTCAGGCTGGGGCTGGGGCCTGGAAACACCCCCCCCCCACCCCCACTGGTTTGTCTGAGGGCCCACTGCTACACTGCCCCCGGTGGGGTGTGCTGGGGGTTCTCGAGGTCTGGGGCTAGGTGCTGGGGCGGTTGCCGGCCTGGCCTGGTGACTGCCGGCTGGGGCTCGGGTCTTCTGGCCCTGTCGGGCTTTGGCCTGGGGGGGGAGGGGGGTCCTGGGGGCCCGGACCTCTGTGCCCTTGCTTGGATCTGCTCTGGTGTGGCGGGTGCCGGCGGGGCCCATGAGTTTGTCGCTGCTGGCTCTGGTGGTCAATGGAGGGACTCTCCCGGTTCTCCCCTATGGTCCGAACTGGTGGGTGGGTGGGCGGATCTTCCCATGTGGGTGCCTTTAGAGGCTCTGCGTTCGGGGTCCCTCTCGAGCCCTTGGGCTCTGGTCTTCCCTATCTGCCTTGTGTCTTGGGGGTTGGGTCTTCGGTCCTCCACAGTCATTATTAAATATTCCATTGGAAAAATCACAACCGTTCACAAACAGGTGCTCTGATCCGGGGGGTTCTGACTGGTCACTGAGTGTGTATAAATGTCTGTGTGTATATATCTACAGTATGCATGAATGTATGCATGTATGTATGTGTATATCTTTATATATGTATGGGTATATGTCAGTATGTATGCTTGCTTTACAGAGAAATTATAATTAATTTTATTATTATATAGATGTGTATTTTGCTGCTTTGTTCTCTTATTTTCAGATGAGCAGACAGATATCGGGTGTGTGGCCTCGTGTTTTCTTGGTGTATGTTTAATATATTTCTAATCTCTATTTCAATCTTTCTAATTATATTTCCTCTTTGTTTTTCCCTCTTTTCCTATTTTCTCTTTACTTAAAAAATCACTGATGATGAAGAAATTAAGAAACTAATAAGTTATTTTTTTCTACTGAAGTGAAGAAAAAAGATCTCATTGTTTTGTATTTTCCTAACAGAGCAGTTCGCTCTCAGACAGCTGGTTTACCTGAGGTTCAGAAAGTTTCTGAAAGTCGAATGGGAGGCAGATCAGGCTCCTCTCTTGTGGAAACTACTTCCAATTTCAGTCCGTAGGTTGACACTCTGTCTACTTTTAAGACTTTGATCAATACAGTCAGGGTTGGCTTGAGCTTTCCAAACTAGTCCTTAGTTTTGCTGCTGACCCCAGCTCTTCACTCTGCTGCTGTCACTGTACTCTTTTTATTCCCTTTTTTTCTATTTGCAGCTATTGATGTCATTAACCTGTATTTTTTTCTTGCTATAAAAACTAATACTGTCCCAATACCTGCATTTAATCGAGCATGTGCAAAAATGCCTCAATACTGAGAACCAATACCAATACCAGTACTCATACTCCATTGAATGTTTTCCAGTTTACATTTCAAATGAAGAGAATCATTTCCATATTTAAGAAAGTTATACAAATTAAAAGAAAATCTTGTTTGTAATTTTTGTTTATTTAAAATCTTGCAACTGAACACATCATACTGTGTATTTGATTTGATGAAGTCAGAGGGGCTGTTGGCCGATAAGGAAGGAGACCCTCCCTGGTCTGAAATGAAATAAATGTTTTTAAAGTCATTGTGGAATATTTAGGTTCTAACTCAGTAAGTGCTCTGTATCATTATTTGGCATTGGTGAGTACCCAATTTTGAAGTACTTATTCTTATACTCTGTTTGAGGAAAAACAGGTATCAGGGCACCCCAAACAGAAACTATAACTGGACCAGCTTTTTCTGTTTTGGTCTGTGTCTCTTTTCTTCCAGATGGCCCCTGGAGTTGTTTCTTTCCACTGTCACCATTGCACTCCTCAGAATCAGAGAAAATTCAGTGTAAACTGTACATGAATACATTGTATTATAAAAGAACTAAACCGACTCTAATCATATTTGAACCTGGATCTGAACTGGATTCATGATTTGGATCTTTTTGTGCAGGGCTGTGTGATGACTTTTTTTTGTAAATTGGTACTACATAAATAAACTGAATTGTGTTGAATTATCCTTTACGAGTCTGCTTTTACATGTGAAAAGCAAAAGTAGTAAGCGAGCAGAGAAGCCAAAACAATTAGTTAAAAGTAAAAAAGAATTGTTGAAAAGGATCAGATAAAACCAGTGAGTAAAAATAGCAGACAAACAAGAGTTAAACACATACAATTGGTTGCTATAGTTTAGTAATTATCAGACGTTATTTTGTTAAGCTTAGAAAAATAAGCTAAAATAAGGCTAGTTAGTTTACTTTTACCTAAGTAAGCAGCTGAAAGAGAGGAAAAAGACTTCATTCAGGAGAAATTTTGTCAAAAGGGTAATTGCAGCTGTAATCACAGTAATTATAGTTGTTGTAATTACGGTTTATAATAATTTAAATATTTGTCACTGAATGAATCAGACACAGTTTGAAAGGTGGAGCTGGGCTGAAAGTAACTTTACAAGCAGCTTAAAAAACGAACAGAAAAGCTGACAACCTAAATAAATTTAAAGAGAAAAAAACTGATTGATCAACTTATCCACAGCTGTGTTGTGGCCCACAAAAAAAAGGATGTTGATGTTGAAGAATATCGTTTGGCAACATTTCACATTACTTGCGGCTGACTTTCTGATACGAAAAAAGCTAAAGAACCAGTTCTAATAGGGGCAGATCATCACTTGATTCAGCTTTGAGACAATTCTTTCTGTTGGCAAACTGAGTTCCTCATTAGCTCCCTTTAAAGCCATTGAAAGTCATTGATAAACAATGTAATGTTTCCTCTCAGGACCGAGACCTCCAACCACCGCCTGCATCAGTTACTTTGTGTAATTGTGTTTGGACCTTTGATTTAGCTTTAATTAGAACAAACCTGTTGTAATGCACGTAGGCTGGCAACTCCTCTGGGACTGTGTTGTATAAAGCACTACCTCTGGTGGACCTCYTTGTTCCATGTTAGCCTGGACTGAAGACTGGGGAATGTAGACTTCCATTATGTCYATAGCAGGCTAGTGCAGTATGTCATCAGCGCCTGAAATCCCTCATTTCTTCGCTAATCTGTACATTAACGTGCTTGTATTTAAAATGAAGAAAAAAATGTCAAACACTAATACAGCAACTGAATAAAATGACTGCAGAAGTTTCATAATTCACACGGAGGGCTAGCACCCACCTTGGGAACCACTGGGTTATTATAAGTAGGATTCTGMCACACTATTTAAAAACACTGAATTTCAAGCAGAAAAAAATGTTTTTTTTTTTTTTGGTAAAACCTTACAGTTTGATAAAAAATAGACATTGGATGATTAGTGCCCACATACGGGGTGGGGGGTTGAGTTCATCTGTCCAGCCTGATTACATAAGCTGGGAGGCAGAATCCCTGCACAACATAGGAAATTAAGCTAACGTCTAAAAATAAACTATATTCAACAGAGTGTTTGGAGTCTGTCAGTGAAGAGCAGGAAAACGGTGTAACCTCAGCTTGGCCTCTCTGTCTCAGCCTGAACACAGCTGACAGRGGGAGTAGTTCTGCCTGCCCTTTTTAACTCTTATTCCTTGTCATCAGCTCAATCAGAAATCTGACCTGAGAGCGACGGTCCGTCAACATCAGAGCGTGSAGGATCAACCTTCACGACCCTTCAGGCCTCAGAGTCACTGTCCGTGGTGCTGAAAGCTGAATCCACTCAGGGAAAATGTTTTGTCTGGAAAATGACTTTTATAAAGCTATATAGGGTTGTTTTAACACCTTCATGATTGAAACTGAATAAAACAAGCTAAAAATGGCTGAAAATTAAAGCAGAGAGCTAAAATTATCAACAGATCGGCTAAAAGTTAATCATAAATAGCACTTTGAATTGTCTTTCTACTATGAAAGGACAGCTAAAAAGCTAAATGTAATTGAAAAAAAGATAAATAGCAAAATATCAGTAAAAAAAATCAGCTTAAGACTAGCCAAAAATACCAGTTAGCGAATGGGAAATGGTAGCTAAAGGTTTTAAAAACCCAAGAAGCTAAAAAAAATGCCAAAACTTACAGCAAAATTCTAAAAGTTATTAACTAAATGTGGCAGAATGGAAAATAAAAGCTAAGAGCAGCAAAATAAGCCAAAAATGTTGCAAATGTGCTGAAGCAGTTTTGATACAGAGCGATTCGAAAGAAGAGATTTAAATGTATTTTTAYGGTGAAAATATTTAGCCATATTTATACRAAGTGAAATAGGAGCTTTCACACAATAAATGAACACCCGCCYCTCTGCGTGCACCCTGGAAGAGAGAAAGATCCCTTCAGGCAGATAATTAGAAGAGTCTGTCACTCCTGGAGGAGAGAGCATCCGGTGAAAGCAGGAAAGAGAGGAGGAGGTGTATGAGGGGGTGGGTGAATCAAAGCTGCAGAACAAAATCAGAGTGTGAGTGGAGCTTCATCYGCGCGCGCTCGCGTTGACGTCCAGCACTTTCCTCTCAGCGTCCGGTTCGGATGGACAGACTCTGAGCCGCAGCGTCAGCCAGCCCCCTAAAAGCAACACCAACACCCACCCTCGGTCATCTGAAGTGGGACACAGCAATATTTTTTCTTATTTTCGCTCCATAATCTAATTTTTCCTTTCAAGTCGCCGGAGAGAGTGCTGCGCAGATCAGGTCCGCGCGCGGAGGAAGCGGGTAGGTTGGCTGTTTACCGGAGTGTCGCGTGCTCTGCTCTGGGATAGTCAGACTGAAGTAAAGTGGGTTTAGGAACACCACGTTTGATAACATTTTATCCCTGAAAGCGGAGACAAAGCGTTTTGGTGACGCTTTAAACACTGAGGGCTACTTCAGAGCTGGAGTGAAAAAAACAAACAAACAGGTAAGTTCTTTCTGTTAGATATTATCACCTGAAGTTACACTGAAAACAAACACCCACAATTAAAAGAAAAAAATCACTGCTCCATTACCTTACACCCCTGACTCTAAACAGTGATTTTTATGATTGCCCGCCGCTGAAAGGCRGGTGATACTGTATGTTTGCCTGGGCGTGAGAGTCTTTTAGCAAAATATCTTGTGAACTACTGGGCGAATCTTGATGAATTTTTCAACAGTTAATCATTAGATGCGCCTCTACATTTGTTTGCAGTTTGGAGTTAACTTGATTAAAGATGGCCTCCACAGCTAAGTCATCTTTGCAAACCCAAAACTGGCTACAACTCAGTCTGTTTTACAGACATTGGGCTAAAATCTGGTGTGGTAGTAGCTGTGAGTCATTAACAACACATAGTCTGAGCACGGGCAGATCATGCGAGTTCTTAGCTCACAACATTCTTAGCTTGACAGTGTTTTTGAAGGCAAACCTGTTTGCAAAATAGCTCATGAACCGTTGAGCAGATTTGAATGGAACCTTCAGAAAATAACCAATGACACACCTGCAACTGATTAGATTTTAGAGTCAGCTTGATTTAAGATGGCTGTCACAGCTAACTGAACTTAGCAAATAGAAAAAATGGCTGCAAGTCAGTCAGTTTGACAGATATTGATCTGAAATTGAACGTGGCAGTATGGGAGTCATTCCCAACACATATAGAGRGCACTTGTGTGAAATCTCACCATGTCCAGTCAGATCCCACATGATGATATTTTTGAGGTTCGACCAAAGTGRCTACAACGTTCTCATTTCTCAACATAAAATAAGTTTAAAGATTTGACAYGAAAGGCAGAGGATGATATGCATTCCTGCAAGAAATGCTAGACCTTATTGTGTTATGATTGTACAGGCTCGTGTACGATGTCTATCTTTTTTTACAACTGGCATTTTGTGTGAAAAAAAAAATAACACAATTTGCTTTGTAATCTGCCTTAGATGTCACCTAATAGCTGCCAACAGTAAATTTTAAAAGCATCACAAACGACAGCCYTACTTCTCAAAGGGGAAACAACATCTTTGTTTTGACATCCTCAACAATTCACTTCCCGGAATCAGAAACACAGAATCAGCTGCGGGGCTGTTGTGTAAGACAGCGTTGGGGTTTGACGAAGTTTAGCCAGCGTATTGACAACTGGGTCATCAGTTGGKCTGATTGCGTTTGTGTGCTTCTCCGTTCTCTCTTACCGACTCATGACCCTGGTAGGGGGCTGATCAGGAGAGCATCATGCTGCTACATAAAAACCAGCTGTTGGGATCTGTGAAGACATTTCAGACACAAATTCAACTGATTCCACAGARAACGAAAAACCCTGCACCTTGGTTTAAAACGACTGATGTGAAAGTGACGCTGTGGGAGGAAAAAAGGGATGTTTGCAGATCTATGCTGAGCACAGCACTCACACCGTAGGAGTCTGGCAGAAACAATGCAGTGTCACCATAAGAGTTGCCAGAAGCAATATGCTCTGATTAGATTAGGACTTGCTTTGCTGTTAAATATTACATGCCCTTACAGGAGGACCACCGTGCGTCCTCTTGTGTCTGAATGCTCAGTTTTAGTGGTTCTTTCCTAAAGTCCGAGTGGTGATGCACATCCCCTCGGCTTGATTGCTATTCTGCACAGGAAGCTAAGCAGCAGGCCACTAGATAGGACCTCGTTTGTTTAACTCTGAGGGTGGAGGTGGGTTGTTGGGGAGGGGGTGTCTGTCTTTCACTGACGGATCTGTATGGACAAGTTGACTCCTTCTGCCTGCAGAGATTTTTAATTTTTCATTGGCTACTGTGTGCCAAACAACGATAACTGAATCCCCCCTATAAAATGTAATTGTGTTGCCGCAGATGGAAAAGATCAGCAAAAATGAAGAATGCATTAAAAAAGGCAACAAATAGAGAGAAAGGAAAAAAACAGCTTCTTAATACGTCTCTATATATGTGACTGCATAGATAACGGCGGTATGGGCTTGGAGCCGGAGTGTAATTTGACATCCGTCTGACATCCATCACTTGAAGTCAGCAGATGCTGTCACTTCCATGGCAACAAAGAAACATAATTTATGAGGATTCATGGAGTCCTCCTGCAGACACCACTGCACACCCGATATTACAGAAAGGCAATACAGTGGGGATGAAGATAAGCAATCATTACYGAAGCATCATATTCGTCTGATTTTGGCACCTTCAGTCATATGGTTGCTAGAGTTACACTTTCGAAATGTGAAGCAATATTTACAGTTTGGATTAATCTGGGGAAAAACGCAGAGGTGCAAGAATTTAATACAAAAGAGAGCTGAAAAGGGGAAAAAAGTCATTCATGTGAATTTTTAAATCCAAATTAAGGCACATATGAAAGAGGAATAGGTTGTATTCTGAGTAGGCGAGGATGGGAGCTCTGAAACATCCATCTTAAAGCCTGTCTGATCCCATTTATCCCTTCAAATGTGAAACAAGCCTTTGCTGAGCGGCCGTCACATCTGATTGCTGTATGCAAATGCATCAGTGACTTATAGGAAAAGAAGAAGAAGAAGAAGAAGAAGAAGAAGAAGAAGAAGAAGAAGAAGAAGAAGAAGAAGCAAGGGGCTGCTGATAAAAATGGAGCAAAACAAAACAAAACAAAAGACAACTCTTCCGTTTTGATCAAACATAATCCACTGACTCATAACTTCGCAGCTCGTCCAACGAGTCCTCGCTGAAAGAAATGGCTCTGATCGATTGCATCCACCAGCCCTGACTGGTGGAGCAATACTGGTTCAGACTCAGAGAGGAGGCTATGGAGAATATTGATGTTTGAACAGAAGAAGATTATAGGAAAACACAGAAGGAAAGTGTCAGACGGGGGAATATTGACAGATGTTTTGTGGAGGAAAAAATAGCAGTTACATTGGAAAATAGGATTATGAAACTGCTGCCAGTTGTTCACAATGAGTCAGGTTCCAAACCACTAATTAATTATAATAACTAACAGTCTTATTTTCTGTTTTCAAATAAATGTGCATAATTAACTTTAAACCAGTAGTTTGAAATGTGAGAAATAGTGCGATTGTAAATTCGTGGAAATATAAAGTCAAAGGAATAGTTTCGATTTGTAAAGTGCAGTTAGAAGGTGTCAATAACTTGTATCTTACCTGTGGTAAAGATCATCCAACCTTGCACACAGTTAGGACTTGTGGTTATTTAAAGTTTACTCACCCCATTATTTCAGCTAGCACTATCTACWGTAATTAAGGCCAGCGTCACACTACAAGAAAATCATGCCGATTTTTTTCCCTTCCAACAATCTTAAGGAAGTCCAGATTATCGTGATGGATTTAAAGATAATCACAGCAGATATTCTCGTGGGTGGTGAGTTAAGAGTGATCTAGTCGGCTCGGAAGGATGTCGGGACCACTCCGATCTCAAATCGTGGATATTCAACATGTTTGATTTTTTTGGCCCGACATCACAGTGTGTGCAGTGTTCACCCGAGCTCTCAGCCTGTGAATGCGACTTGTAGCCAATCAGAAAGCGAGGTGACATAAACACGGAGGGGAATCCAAAATACAAAAGACAAAAAAAAACCTGTCATGGCTCACCAGAAAGTCTGCTGGATGTTAAAAGTCCTATAGAGTTGTTTTTCCTCTGGTAAAAATAGTCCACAAACGATAAACATTGTTTCTTCTTTGTTGTAAATGTTTATTTACTCTGAACTCACGTCTCTCTGGAGGTCACGTGAGATTTTTCCTCCGACATCTGAATTCTCGCGAGATTTCAGGAAGTCTCGCATGATTTAATATCTGACATCTGAATGTTCATGAATGAAATATCTTTTCGTGTGTGGTGTGTTGTCTTTTGCCATGTGGCCACGCACTCTAGGACCAAACCTGGTATATCTATGATTTTTTATCCTCACGTGTGGGCTCTCTCAGTCTTTGAAAATCATTCGACTATTTTAAAATCTTGTAGTGTGACTCAGCCTTAAACAGAGGATTTACTGCTGCTAATTCTACAACCCAGGAAACTTTATTAGGACTGTGTTTATAGTAAGAATTTAGTGATACGATATATATCATGACATAGGAGTTGCGATACAATATCTTGCAATATATTCCCATTTTTGTCCAAAAATTCTATTTTATAAAAACCTCAGAATGCTTATATGGATTGCATTTGTTTCGTAGTTCTTATTTCATCTATGTTATCCATGATRAAGCCAAATGTGCCATTTCATAGTTTGTGGCAGCTTTTAGATTTTAATATTTATTTATTATAAAAATATGGTCGCCCAAGACACAGATAACAGCCTATGTCTTGTTGTAAAGTTCAGTAACAGGATGACATGCATCTCCTTGTCTCCATATTAACATTGCATGTTTAATCTAACCGTGCACGTCACTGAAGAGGTGTTTATTACATTTAGTGATGGAGAAAACGGGATGTTTTTTTAACGTCTGTCAATAGCAGCGGAATTGCCACCCGCCGCTGCAACAAGCTGCTCAACAATAACATTAGCATGCTAATATACTTAGCAGTGCTCCGAGGCCAAGTGTCCCCCGGGAAACCGTTCACTGGCGGCCGCGACAAAACGTTCCGAACATTTTCAGGCTATTTAAACCGGTATGTCGGTATCCAGAAAATTCATATCATAACAAAAATAAAAAACGGTATTCGGTATGAACCTGTATACCGCCCAGCACTACAAGTACGCCAGTCATTTCAATGCACTGTTTCATATGGTCGTTGCATTTGGCCACTTCTGTGAGGATTGTGTTTTCTGTTGTCTGGTGTCTTCCTCCCTCTGGTGTTTCTTCATTTTCATTACGCCTCAGATGTTTACCTGTCACTTCCCTCCTCAGTCAATTACACACACCTGTCAGTAGTTCCTAATTAGTGTTTCTATCAGCTGTAGTTCATTTCTTCATTCTCTCAGTTTGTAYTTAAGCCTGGTTCAGYTCTCACTTACTCACTGGTTCRTTGTT